GTGAGAGAATCTTTGTTCCTGAAACTTTCAAAATCTCTTTACACAGAGGGGACACATGTTTATGTAGAAAAGACATGAAAAAGTGGATTTTGCATAATAGGTGACCTTTAAAGGAAGAGCAAAGATATATTTTCATAAATAAATAATAGAGCTTACAGCAGTTTTTAGATAAGATAAACACATATTTACTTTATTGTCCCGGAGGGAAGATATTTCTTGGCTGAAGTGCTACACCCAGCTGCATTCATCTTTAAACAATTCACAGCCTAAGGCACTGTAATAAGTCACAAACAAAGACAATACAAACAACAGAAGAAGATAAGAAAGAGCTCATGCTTTATAAGATAAAACAATGAATACATAGGCATTATAAACCTAATGGAAGGAATCGTAAAAGCTTATAGAGACCATAAAAAGTGCATGGTTCATAAACTACATGAAACAATGCCTTCACTAAACGATGGCACTGATGGTGCTTTAGACACGTCCTGCTCTTAGCTTTAAAATATAAAAAGATGCCACAAAGGGTGAAGCGGTTTACGTTGTCCTTGTGTTAAAACTTTTCTTTTATACTCTTGTCGCGTTTCTCAGTTTGTCTTCTTGTAGGATTTTTGCACGTTTTAATGAAACATTTAGGCTCTAAAGTAGGAAGCCGTTGCTCTTAAATTCTGTTGGCATTACATCAACATCCTTTTAGTTTACTGTAAATACTTTGGACTGCTGAACAACTTCTCCCTCTCCTAGTTTTACTCTCATTACTTATTTCTCGATCTTTGAGAAATAATGATTTCATTACATAGAGACCAGATGTTGAGGCAGATCACTTATTTGGAGATTTTAATAGATTGTAGGCGTTAGATGGTTTGGCCATTTCTCTTTTTTTATCATATCACAGGAAATGTCATTTTTAATTTGAAGCATGAATCACTGTTGAGGAAGCAGTGGGATGAACAATTAGACTAAAATAGGAGTAGCAGTCCTCTCTGAGCGAGTTTGTTCCTACATCAAATGTTTGTTTTTCAGAGTGTTACGTTCCCTACTGGGCTAGGGGAACCAAAGGGAAGTAACTAAATATAAAATGACCTGGCGAGAGAAAAAGGAGAGGAAACTGATCTCTGAAGCCACAAGATGGTCTTTTAATGGACAAAAGAAAAAGGGCTCACCAGCCAACTTGCAAAGCAAACTAAGATAAACTAGAACACAAATATACACTGGAGCACATCTCCTAATAATTAACAAAACACAGGTCTCACACAGAGACAGAGAAACAGAGTGAGATCATGTTACATCCTGGAAAGTCTCTTCTTCTATTCTTATCAACATGTGGAAACAACGGTCTAGTGTCCTTCCTGTCATTTTCATTCTTTCATTCTCTCAGACTTGATAAACATCCAACCCCTGTGAGACGACTCCTCATCATGATGACTTGTATATTTTCTCACTTCCACCTTGTAGTACCTCTTCATGCAGATAGTCACCTTTTGATTATTCCAGGTTTTGAAAAATCAATTTTAGAGATTGTTTGCGTCTACTGCATTTTTGTTTGTAATGCTCCCTGGATGGATTGTCAAAAATAATTAATGTGGACTAACAACAAAAATAAACAGATGCCTGCTATTTTCAGTCATACAAGATTAACCAGAAGACAGAAAGACATTACAAAACGTCCTGAACAACAACAAACTGACACATTCATCGTCCATATTGAGGATTAACCCCATTGGTAACATCTGTTTAAATCTTAATAATCCTTTCAGTCTCTTCCCGCCAAATCAAGCTGGGCTTCAAGCTAATTTGCAATTGCAAAACCAGGGATTTGGCCCAAAAATACATTTTGCCAATTGATTTTCACTGGGAAAGAGACGTCTGTAATCAGCAGACAGCAGATAATGTGTTTTGAGGTGAATAAACTTCCCGGTATGCACACTTGAATAGAGTTCATGTCAATCATTGGTTCCTAAATGTTGTAAAACCTGCTAATCCTGCCAAATCCAGAGTTAATGTCCCTCCTTAGTTCCTGTGAATGACCCGAGACCGGTAGAGCAATGTTGGCTTCATGCACCACTGAGCACCTTTCAAGATACATAGAAAGTCAAAGTCAACTTTAATGTCAATTAAGAGAGATCGAAATAACGTTTCCAACAATCGCGAATACAAAAATACAATTATACAAATATACAAATATGTATATCCTATGTACACAATCAACATACAGTGCATTCAGTTCTCTTTATACATCCATGCCTCAAACAAAAACATTTTATATTGCACACTATGTTGATATCTTTGTTACATTTCTCCATCCTCAAACGCATAAATGTATCACCTTTATGTTTGTGTGCATGTCTTTATGTGCTTCCTTCTGTTGCAGAGCTCTGTATATGTTCCTATACTAATAACCAGAACATGTAGTTCCAGCAAAACAACACACGCACAGTGCATGTGTTGTTGCACTGCACTCACATTACACAGTATGGGCATTACTAACACCGATGACAGAACCCCGCCGCGCTGTGTTCTCCTCGCTGGGGCATTTCCTTGTATGAAGTTTAGTCTGTACAAAGGTCACTCTGCATAAAGGTGACGGGAAGCTGGAGTGCCAGGAAAAGAGTGAAGAGACTGTAAACAAACTCCTCTTCATTTCTCCTCAGAAAGAGATGTCTAAGTAATCTCAAACATTGTATCTTTTAATGCAAACTAAGGCTTTTCCCTTTAAACTGTGGGTTTTTTCTCCGGAAGTGTTTCCTTGTACGATGTGAGGGTCTAAGGACAGAGGGTGTCGTTTTCTCATACTGAAATTCTGCACAAACTGTGCTGCTGTATTTGCTGTAAAGTGTCTTTATTGTAGGGTATTTTTATTATATGTACAGCACTTTGGCTCGACCAAAAATCGTTTAAAAATGTGCTATATAAATAAAACTTGATTTGATTTGATTTGATTTAGATCCCATTTAGTGTTTCTGTTTAGTTTTAAGCATTTTTTTAAAGTTGGAGAAACTAACTTTTACTGGAAACGGAGGAGCGGGGGGAAACACTAACATTGACATGTTCTATGGAAATGTGTGTTTTTTTTACATCAGAATACCAAATGTGACCTGTTTGTAACTTATTACTATCAGTTTTTATACATATAAATGGTAAAACTAGAGAAGTATATTACAGTAAAGATGGGTTCTTGAGCAATGTTCTACAGTAACAACAGTAAGCACTGGCCTTCATTGCGATTATGAAGTGTTTCAATTGACTAAGATAAGCAGATCTTAACCAGACTGTGGTATAGTATCACATGCAGATATTATAGGACTCAACCAAAAAATAAAAAAACCTGATTGAAATGTGAAATCTGTAAACCTGAATTATGCAGAATCATCTCTCATCAGCACGAAGAGATCTGAGGAGACAAAGCATCTTTTGTTGAACACACTTGACCCCACATGTGTTGCTGATCCAGTTTGTTCACAGTCAGCGCCTGTCTGCATGTCGCGTCATCACGGTGAAATAATGTCTGTTCTTGTGGCTCAATGTTATGTGAGCAAGGGTAAAAGAGAGTACATAAACCAAAGTAAATCAGTGTAGTCTTTTTTAATGTATTCTAATCTGAACATACACACATCACACGACTATTGTCAGAAACAGTGGGACCTATTGTCCAAATATCATGAATACCCATTGTGTATAAACATCAATACATCTACTCAGACATATAAAGACATGTATGTTTTTGCTACTTTTAACGTTAGTCATGAATATAATATGATCCTATGAATATAATGTTTACCCTTTTTCTTCAGAGTGACTTTTTTGAAGTGAGGGTGCTTTATTCTCAGTGTTTTGTAATAAGTTGGAACACAGTATAAAACTCATGCTATCTGCTTTAATGTAATGTACATTTAGTGTGTGTGTGTGTGTGTGTGTGTGTGTGTGTGTGTGTGTGTGTGTGTGTGTGTGTGTTTTGTTTGAATGGCATTCTGCTGTGGGGCCTGCCAGGCGCTCAGGGTGAGCAGGTTCAAGGCAGCTGTCTGATGAGGGGAAACACTACTGGAGGAACTGGATGATAATAAAAAAAAGGAGTCTTGGCAGTTTTCCCATTCGGGGGCGGGACACTCCCAGAGCTTATGATCACAAAGCTGAATGGGGATCTGATCCAAATATTCTGTATTCTGAAACCAACATTTTAAAAACAGAAGCAAGAAAACCTGTGATGAAAGTTTTATATCTTGAGAAAGTACTGTTTTTCTGTGTTTCATGAAAAATGAATTGACTGTAGCTGTTTGTTTAGTTAGCTTTGTTGTTTGACAGTTTGAGCTCCTGAAATGCCCCCCAAAAGCTTTTTTCAGAGGTTAATTTATTGCAATGCATTGTGTTGATTACGATTTCCTCTTTAAGGCTTTGACGATTTGTGTTTAGTGTTGAGGTCACTCGGTTCACCTAAAGCTGAGGCTCAGACCCTATTTCAGAACGTACTCCATTCATAGAGACCTCAGTTAACCTCACACACACACACACACACACACACACACACACACACACACACACACACACACACACACACACACACACACACACACACACACACACACACACACACACACACACACACACACACACACACACACACACACACACAAACAATAACCTCCTGGATATACATATGAAGGAAACTGGAAAGAGTCTGTACGTGCTGCTGAAGTGGAGACTTCTGGCTCAGAGTCTGAGAAGAAAACTTCAATCGTGTTGTGCGACACACTACAGGGGAATAGGGTAAAGAGGATATAACCATTTAGTTTCACAATATTTCGTACATTTATACAAGTATCTTAACATTTCCCTGAAATGTGATGTTTAAAATGCCAATACGTATTGTCTTATACTAACTTTTGGTCAATTTAGGATCAATCTACAGACTCAATTTGGCAAAGTTAGTTAAAAGAAACACCTACATTTGTTCCTTGGATGTTTTCTTTTGAATAATCTGAAGGTGAGCAATAAAAGACACACACTTTTCAATACATAGTCATTATTATTACATTAGTTATAGATTCAGAACGTCATTGCATATTAAATGGCACAAAAACAGGTACAATACAAAAGGTATCCTCTACAGAGGACCCTATGCAGTGAGTCACGTTGTGGTGGCATCAGATTTCACTGCAGAAACGTTCACAGAAGTTGTTTGGGTGAGGCGGGAGTTTGATAAGAGTCCAAAGTCAGACAGTCCTTCTGCTGCTGCAGTGAATCAGTTACATGTCTGACTCTAAAAATAAGGTGAAGGTGTTGCAGTGCGTTTCATCAGCAACATAGATGATAAAACACTTTGACAATTTAAAAGAACTAGTTACAAAATGGGACAATACTGTAAATCAAAATATGTTCAAATATAGTTGATAAAGTAGTTTATTATTGATAGTTCAGGGACCCTATAAGCCTTCCTAAGATTAAGGAAGAAGAAATACATTCATATCACACAACTTTAAGCAACCTTTTTGAATACAATAATGACTCTTTGGTCTCATTGCTTGTTTCAAGGAGTGCTGATTTGTTACTGATGCAAGAACTGTCTTTAAGATGGCAAAGGTAGATTAATGTGACTTCTTATCCAAATTCCAGTTTATAGTAGCTTAGATTTTGGTTGTTTTTGAGAGAAACTGTTGAAATACTGGATGGGTTTGTTCTGTAGGAAAGCAATTAGGAGTCATTTGTGCAATAAAAACATCACTTATTAGAAAAGAAGGCAAGACAATCTTCAGATGTGACTGCGCTGCCCCTTGCTGGTCAAAGGTTTATATTGCAGACAGCTACAGAGTTTAACAAGTGAGACATTTGATCTTGCAAAATGAGTTTGTTTAATGCTTTACAAAATATTTTGCACAAGGTTGCTGCTTTTGAGGTTGTGGTGTATTTCTCTTTAATGCTTTTGAGGTTGTGGTGTATTTCTCTGTAATGCTTTTGAGGTTGTCATGACGCAACATATTAGTTGAAGAAACGGGAAACTGTTGGCAACACAGTCTGAGTTTAGGGTCCCTTTAGAGCTCAAATGAACATATTGAATGTATTTTTTATCTTACAAGTAGACCATAACCTAAAGATATTACAATATATTGTTACATACAACTAGATAACACTTCAAATGCTCACAAGCTGAAGAGATTTCTTTTATTTTTGCTTTAAAATGACTAATTCTTCTTTTCAAAAGGTTTCAGCTTTTTAAAAAAAACAAAAAATCATCAGATTATTCAATGATGGAAATAATTAATAGTTGCAGGCCTTGTGGACTGAATAAAAATACATCAGGCTTTGTAGGTTTACACATTGCACACACACACACACACACACAATCAATGTCCTTTCATGCAAAAGCCTGAAGAATCACTCCAACTCATAGAAGCTGCTGTCCAGTTTGGTTTTGACGGTCTTGAAGTCCGGCCGGTCATCAGGCTCGAAGCTCCAACATTGCAGCATGATTTTATAGAGCAAGTTGGGGCAGTTGGACGGCGCCGGCATCCTGTAGCCGTTTGACACCTGCTCGTAGGCTTCCTGGTTGTTAAAGGCTGAGGGAGAGGAGAAATGGTGATGAGAGGTCATTTATATCCATTTAAAAGACCTCTAGATACACCTGGAGGCCTCCTAAATGTACTCTTGTGCAAGCTTTAGTTGTTATTAGGTTGTGAAACTTTCAAAAGCAAGTACTGCAGACGTATCTCCATCATTCACACAGTAACTATACAGTACATGTCACTGCTAAACCACAAAAGTATATAAATATAAATGCTAAACATGGTTGTTTACTTTCAGTTCCCCAAAATGGTTCATCTTTGTAGGGAAATTGTTACTTTATTTCATCATCTTTAATTATATTCAAGCACTGTGAACCTTAAAATGAGCAGAATGTGTTGAGAGAGTTACTAAAGTCAACATATATTTTCTGTAAGGTTAGTAATGGTATTAGGGCTGTGGGGTTAATACTTTGAAGACTAAATTCTGGATTCGGTCTGTGTAATTTCCTGCCACGTTTGCATTAGATCAGGGGTGTCAAACTCAAATACACAGTGGGCCAAAATAAAAAAATCGGTACTAGTCGAGGGCCGGACTGGTTAAATGTTTATTGCAAAACTTATTGAAATTAACTTATTGCACATATTAAACCTGGAACTAACAAAGCTTAAATTATTGCCTATTGTTTTTCAACATTAAACATTACATAATCAGTTGCATTCATTTCTTATGGCACTATCTGCAGCTTTTCCGGAGTCATTTCTTATGATTACATTTTTCCACAGGCCAACAACAGCTTCAATAAAACCATTTCCCTCAAAGAAAAAACCAAACATGCCCTGTTGTCTCAAGAAAGAAAGTGCAGAAGGAAACTCAGTTTGCTGCTCTGTGATGCTAGTTCAACCAGATACTTGGCATCTCATCTTGGGTGCAAGTTCATCAATGTTTGGGGTCAGGCTCTGAGCTGAGGAAATCCTCAAGTTGAGTGAAGGTGTGCGTGCAATATACCGGCGGGCCAGATCTAATAGTAATTAAAAATTATCCTGCAGGCCGAAATTAAATCCACCAAGGGCCTGATTTGGCCCCCGGGCCTTGAGTTTGACACATGTGCATTAGATAGACCCGCTGCACCCCCCTAAGAGGCATCAACAAATGTGAGCATTAGGGTTGTGACAAACACAGGGGCAATGGCTTTAAATGATAGTTTTGCTACATGTTATTCCACCAACCTGGGTAAGGAGTGCCTCCACATGTGATAATCTCATAAAGCAGGACACCGAAAGACCAGACGTCCGACTTGTTGGAGAACTTCCCGTGGCTGATGGCCTCAGGAGCGCTCCACTTGTAGGGAATCTTTTTATCTTCTGTGATGTAGAAAGGCTCCTGGAGGACAAATGCTTTGTCTTAAACAAACTGCCCGCTTGATTTGACTTCAGAAAAGACTCTTTATAACCCTTCCTCCTCCTCCCTTACCTTGATCACTCTGGCCAGTCCAAAGTCGGCCACCTTACAGATGTAGTCCTCCCCCACCAGGACATTTCGAGCCGCTAAATCTCTGTGGATGCTGTTCTTTTGCTCCAGGTACGACATCCCATCAGCCACCTGGGCTCCCATGTCAACGAGGGCCGCAATGTCTTGATTACGCCCCTCTGGACCTGAAACAATAAAAAGAACAAATATAGTTTAAAACTAGGGCTGCACAATATTGCAAACATTTAGTTATTTTTCACCATAAATGTTGTATATTTAACATTAAATGCATCAATCTGGTGCACTTTGTTGGCACAGTTAAGATGCTACATCTAAATGCTAGATGCTAAAGCTAAATCTTGGCACATTGTGTTTTTTCCTTTTGAATCAAGTAGCAAATCACTGGTATGCAGACAGGCATGACGGGTTTTAGGTCATTTGTTCTTATTTGCATATAAGCAAATAACAATGTCAATGCTGAAACGCTATCTAGTGCAGTGCGATAAAAACTTAGAATCAAGATGTTACATAGAGTTAAAATAACCTTAAGGTGCATGTGCATTTTTTAAATCATATATTTATATAGTTATTCAAGGTTCAAGGCTTTTATTGGTCATGCGTACATAGCTACAGTGTAGTTATGACGATGAAAATCTTAGGTCACAGGCTCCAACAGTGCAACACAATAAAACAGAAAAAACAGAAAAAAATAGTGCAAATAAATACAAAAAGAATTAAAGCTGCAAGCAGCGTTGAGCGGGTCTTCGACGCTCCGCAGGCTGTTGTCCGCACGTCGAGGTATCATGCAGGAGTTTTCCGGACTCGGCCGTTGGCAAACGTGGGAAGTTTCAGGCCGATCGGACAACGTACATACATACGTACGAGTTACAGCAGTATCATAAACATTGTGTTTGATGGCGAGTGATCTGTCGCCATGGCAACGGCATTTGATGACAACACATAATACGCCTAGATATGTTGAGGGCTGCATCGGTATAAAACCTGTGAAGTTTTGGGCCGTTTGGAGCATGTTAACTGGAGTTATGTTTTTTGGCGAGGGATACGTTGTCATGGCAACAGCTTTTGAGGAAAACTCACTATTGTTATATTGAGGTGTTGAGGGCCGGACCATTAACTGTCATCTGAAGTCTGGTGCCGTTTTGAACCTTTTCCATTGACTTAAGACAACTTCATGTTTTACGGCGTGGGATGCGTTGCCATGGAAACGGCATACGGTGAGATCTCAGATTTCGCGTAGAGCTGTTGAGTCATGGACCATTAACTGTCATCTGAAGTCTGGTGCAGTTTGGAAGCTTTTCCATTGACTTAAGACAACATCGTGTTTTACGGCGTGGGATGCGTTGCCATGGAAACGGCATACGGTGAGATCTCAGATTTCACGTAGAGCTGTTGAGGGCCGGACCATTAACTGTCATCTGAAGTCTGGTGCCGTTTGGAAGCTTTTCCATTGAATGAAGACAACATCGTGTTTTACGGCGAGTGATGCGTTGCCATGGAAACGGCATACGGTGAGATCTCATATTTCACGTAGAGCTGTTGAGGGCCGGACCATTAACTGTCATCTGAAGTCTGGTGCAGTTTGGAACCTTTTCCATTGAATTAAGACAACATCGTGTTTTATGGCGAGTGATGCGTTGCCATGGAAACGGCATACGGTGAGATCTCAGATTTCACGTAGAGCTGTTGAGTCATGGACCAGTGATATAAAAGTGAAGATTGTGGGACGATGGGACCGTGTCCATTGGATTTACAGCGACACCGTGTTTTATGGCGAGGAATGCGTTGCCATGGAAACGGCATACGGTGAGATCTCAAATTCCCTAACCCTAACCCTAACCCTAACCCATTAACTGTCATCTGATGTCTGGTGCAGTTTAGACCATTTCCCATTGACTTAAGACAACATTGTGTTTTATGGCGAGGAATGCGTTGCCATGGAAACGGCATATGATGACATCCCAGAATACGCGTAGAGCTGTTGAGGGCCGGACTAGTAGCCATGATCTGAAGTCTGGTGCAGTTTGGAACCTTTTCCATTGAATTAAGACAACATCGTGTTTTACGGCGTGGGATGCGTTGCCATGGAAACGGCATACGGTGATATCTCAGATTTCACGTAGAGCTGTTGAGTCATGGACCAGTGATATAAAAGTGAAGACTGGGGGACGATGGGACCGCGTCCATTGGATTTACAGCGACACCGTGTTTTATGGCGAGGAATGCGTTGCCATGGAAACGGCATACGGTGAGATCTCAAATTCCCTAACCCTAACCCTAACCCTAACCCATTAACTGTCATCTGATGTCTGGTGCAGTTTAGACCATTTCCCATTGACTTAAGACAACATTGTGTTTTATGGCGAGGAATGCGTTGCCATGGAAACGGCATATGATGACATCCCAGAATACGCGTAGAGCTGTTGAGGGCCGGACTAGTAGCCATGATCTGAAGTCTGGTGCAGTTTGGAACCTTTTCCATTGAATTAAGACAACATCGTGTTTTACGGCGTGGGATGCGTTGCCATGGAAACGGCATACGGTGATATCTCAGATTTCACGTAGAGCTGTTGAGTCATGGACCAGTGATATAAAAGTGAAGACTGGGGGACGATGGGACCGCGTCCATTGGATTTACAGCGACACCGTGTTTTATGGCGAGGAATGCGTTGCCATGGAAACGGCATACGGTGAGATCTCAGATTTCACGTAGAGCTGTTGAGTCATGGACCAGTGATATAAAAGTGAAGATTGGGGGACGATGGGACCGTGTCGATTGGATTTACAGCGACACCGTGTTTTATGGCGAGGAATGCGTTGCCATGGAAACGGCATATGGTGAGATCTCAGATTTCACGTAGAGCTGTTGAGTCATGGACCAGTGATATAAAAGTGAAGATTGGGGGACGATGGGACCGTGTCCATTGGATTTACGGCGACACCGTGTTTTATGGCGAGGGATTCGTTGCCATGGCAACAGCTTTTGAGGAAAACTCACTTTTGTCATATTAATGTGTTGAGGGCCGGACCATTAACTGTCATCTGAAGTCTGGTGCAGTTTGGAGCATTTTCCATTGACTTAAGACAACATTGTGAAGTTTTGGTGGCGTTGTGAGCATGTCAGTTGGTGTTATGACATCATCGTGTTCCATGGCGTTTGATGGGCCTAGCATCGAGCGAACGCGAACTTTGGCGCCAAATAACGGCTGCGCCGTGCGAAAGAAAAAAACTTCCGTGATAACTTTAAATTGCCAATGTCTGGAGATGCTACCTGACGAATTTCGAGTCGTACGGGTAAAGTCCCTGGGAGAAGATAGATTTTGCGCGGAGGACGAAAAACGCGATAAATGGCGTTTTTTGACGCCTTTTTCGACGCCAAATTCAAAATGGCCGACTTCCTGTACGTTATTTTATACCCCTCCAAGAGGCTTTTTTGTTTGTCTCCGCACCTTAGATAGGCTTAGCGAGTTTCGTTCGGTTACGTGAAAGTTAAAGTAGGGGGAGTTAACGTTAAAAACGGAAGTGGGCGTGGCCTACGCAATTTTTGACGTTAAGTTCCGGGACCAATTACACATCGCAATTTTGCGCACTTCTGACGCGTGTGCAAAATTTGTTGAGTTTTCACATATGTGGCGGGGCTCAAAAGTGCGCGCGATGTTCTAAAATAAGAATCAGAATAATAATAATAAATAATCGGACCAATATCAATAATGTGCTAGTTTAACAGTGACGTGGGCTACGCCCACGTCACTGTAGGCCGTGGGCTACCTACTGTCATGATTTAGGCCACTTTTAATGGGCTTTTACCCGTCTTTTCCCCTGTTTTTAGTGGGTTTTGCATGGTTATCGCTCGCTTCGCGAGCGACTAAATTGATCGTAACGATATTAATTATGCGAGTTGCACTCACGTGGGCTTCGCCCACGTGAGTGGGCTCGCGCGGACTATCTGCCGTCACTATTTCCGAACCTTTTCTGTGCTTTTGCCGGTCGTTTTCCCTGTTTTTGGGTGTTTTTAGCAGGTTTATCGGTCGCGCAGCGACCGATTTCAATAGGGTCTTCGCCGACCTATGGTCTCAGACCCTAAAAATAGTAAAAAAGTGAAATAGTGCAATAAGAGTCTATACAGTATGCAAGTGATTGAATATGATATATTAGATAAATAATTTCTAAATTGCAGCTAGATTAATGTTATGGATGTTGTTTCAAAAGTTCAGGTGTTATAGTTATAAATTAAAATTTGAAATACTGAAAATGTAGTTTATACCTACAAAAACCTTCGAGCCAGAAGAACAATCTTTAACCCCTTGACCTTAACCCTGGGGTATAAAGCTCACACTCTGGGGTATAAAGCTCACACTCTGGGGTATAAAGCTCACACTCTGGGGTATAAAGCTCTGTATTTCTTCCGTAAAGACAGAAGTATGTGCCACAGTGAGGGTTTTACCTCTGAGGAAGTTGAGCAGGCTGCCTTTCTCCATCAGCTCGGTGATGATGTAGTACGGAGCCGAGGCCGTGCAGGTGGCAAACAGAGAGATGAGGTGACGATGGCGCAGACTTTTCAGGATCTGCACTTCCCTCTGAAACTCACGGTGGTTCAACTCAGAGTCTGGAGAGAGAAACAGGCCGACAGATGGAGAGAGAATTAAAAGCGTGTGAAACAGAAAAGAGGAATAAAGAGAAAAGAGGAAGAGAAGGAAACCATGTTAACCGTTGGACACATATACCACACTTAAACCAACGATGGGATTCACTATGTTTGGTGGTTTCCTGATTTTATAGTCTTTCAAAAAAGATAAATCATGAAGCACTGCTTTATTTGTATATCTTTGTATCTTCATCAAACCGAGTCCGACCCTTGTCAATTAACTACAGGGGTCCCTCAGGGCTCTGTTCTTGGTCCCCTCCTCTTCTCCTTGTACACAAACTCGCTCGGATCAGTCATTAGCCCGCATGGTTTTTCATACCACTGCTACGCTGACGACACCCAATTAATTCTGTCCTTTCCCCGCTCAGAGACCCAGGTCGTCGCACGCATCTCTGCTTGTCTAGCGGACATCTCTCAGTGGATGTCTGCTCACCACCTCAAGCTCAACCTTGACAAGACTGAACTGCTTTTTCTTCCAGGAAAAGATTGTCCCACTCTTGACCTAACAATCAACATCGGCCCCTCTGTTGTTTCCCCGACTCAGACTGCAAGGAATCTGGGTGTGACCCTAGATAACAAACTGTCCTTCACTGCAAACATCGCTGCTACAACCCGCTGCTGCAGATACACTCTTTACAACATCAGGAGGCCCTTATGAAACAAAAATATATTGTAATATATTGGTAAATATAATACAATATATTGGATCATACATTTCCATATATGGGAAAGTAGTCCTTATATTTTTAAATATATTGCAATATATGCATGGACCATGTATGGCTATATATTGATACATATAAAAAAAAAATATTGCAATGAAAACAAAAACTGCACTATACATTTATATGTAATAGTTTTATTGAAACACTCATTTATCTTTCATGAGTTTACATAAAATTGAACAGATATTCATAAACAGTTATCTCACTTCGTTTTGTATAGTTACCCACTTTATATATGAACATATGTTTGATGGTAGCCTACATATAAAAAAAGTACAAATTGTCCATTGAATGATGGAAAATAATATACAGTTTATAAATATATATAGACACACACATATATGCACGCATATATATATGCATATATGCACGCATATATATATATTCATATATGCGTGCATATATGCACGCATATATATATATTCATATATGCGTGCATATATGCGTGCATATATATATTCATATAAATATATATATATGCATATATGCACGCATATATATATGAATATATGCACGCATATATATCTATGCATATATTACGGCCGACCGGCTATTTGGAGTGGAACGCACCCACGGCAGACAGCCCAAACAGTATTCCAATGCGCCACTTCCGGCTGATTTCGGGGAGCCCCCCCCCCCCTCTCCAGCAATAGATTGATCTGATTGGCAGATTCAAATCTGCGTTGCTGCCTCTGTCTGTTGATTCTGTCGCTGAGTGTCAAAGAGAAAGCATTCATCAGGTGCTTCGAAACGGAAAATTAAAAAGAAACGAGAGGAAAATACAGCACCAGAGTCAGGTATGTGTGTGAGCATTTAAAACTATTTTAAATTGAAATAATTCTGCATGTACACTATAAGTAGTCTAGTTGCTTAATCCGTATGTCCCGTCTCTCGGCACTACACCAGCTACATTAGCTAACGTTAGTTAAATTAGCTATGTTAGTTCCCTCGTGTATGAGTGTATAACCGGTCCGCAGCTTTGTGAACATTCAATTTCGAAGATTTTCGATGTTACAGTCAACTGAAGTCGACCCAAAACAGCCAAAAATAGCGGACCTTTAGATCGCTAACATTTTAGCATAAGTCAATGGAGTTTAACATAGCGAAAACTAGCCCCACGGCTAACGGACATTTTCTGACTGGTGACGATGATGAGCTAGTTTAGTAATGTAACCACAGTTAGTCTATGTCTTGTAAATTCCCCTTGTTCTCCTTGATCTGCATTATATCGTTCGTGTTTTAGTCAGGCACATTTAGGGACAGCTAAAGTAGTTCAGCTACGGGTCTTCGAGCTGGTTACACATGTGCGTTCAGGACATTATTGCGCATCGTCACATGCATAATTACCATCGTCACAGAGAGAATGCGTTCGTGAAGAATGTGAGCATATATGCAGATCTTTAGTGTTGGTAATGTTATAAGATTGTATGCATAGTGTCCTGCTCAGTCAGTGTGTTAATGAGTCTTGATGTCCCGTTTTTAGTTTCTATGTTGTTCAGGAATTGAGCTAATGCTAGCTAGTTAGCTAAGTTAAGCTATGATAGTGTGTGGATGAGATGCTAACTTAGCTTTTATTAGCCGTGTGTTTGCAACGTGTCTAATGTGTTTTAGCACAGGGTTCGCGCGGGGTCTTAAAAAGTCTTAAAAAGTCTTAAATTTGATCATCTGAATTGAAGGCCTTAAAAACAGGGTTCCCGCGGGGTCTTAAAAAGTCTTAAAAAGTCTTAAATTTGATAATATGAATTTAAGGCCTTAAAAAGGTCTTAAATATGGCCAAAAAAATAAGAAAGGTCTTAAATATGATTTAGAAGGTCTTAAAAATGATCGGATTTGAAAGGTACTTCTGTGTTGCGATAGCGTCTAAATGTGTTTTGGGGGAAATGTCCGGGCTGCAAAGTAACCAGTATGGTAATAGCCTTTCAGTTCCCCCCAACAATTTGTATTGAAATAAATCAACATGGAACCAGTAATCACTAACTTTGTTTCCGCCGGCCCCTTATTGGAGAACACCCAGCTAGTAACCTAGCAACCAAGCTTCAGCTCGCGGCAGACAGAAACTCATGTATCTTCGAATAAATATGGGGAAGTGTAAGTTCAACCGTTATTGGTTGGAAAACATCGAATTTAGTGCTTGGTTGAAACCAGGGGAGGGGAACGTGTTTAAAGCCCGCTGCACCTTTTGCAAAATAAATTAGCGTTTGTTTGGCTAATGTAGCGTTAGCTAGTGCAGCGTTAGCTAGTGCAGCAGCTCCCGCAACAACACATTGGGACCTCCGGGCAACGTTTGGGTCTACGTCAACCCTAAAAGCGGAGGTGCTGTAGACGCTAAATACCGTAGTTAAACACCAATCATACAACAGCAACGATGAAAGATTGTAGCCAAGGCAGCAGAGCTCTGAATATAGCTCTTGTCACTCTCTCTCACACACACACACACACACACACACACACACACACACACACACACACACACACACACACACACACACACACACACACACACACACACACACACACACACACACACACACACACACACACACACACACACACACACACACACACACACACACACACACACACACACACACACACACACACCACACACACACACACACACACACACACACACACACACACACACACACACACACACACACACACACACTAGGGCTGCTCGATTATGGCAAACATCATAATCACGATTATTTTGGTCAATAATTGATATCACAATTATTAAATACAATTATTAATTGACTTTGAAAACATCCATTTATTGAACTTTAAAACAAATAAAAATTTGGACAGTATCTTTTTAACTGTTGATTACCCTGAACGTATAATTCAACTGAAAAAATAAATAAAATAAATGATACATTTAAATAAATAATATCAAAAATAATAAATACCAATAAACAAGATCAACAAATATTTTGGAGCGCACTTCCACAAGCTACTAAACATATACAAATATGATAAATAAAAATAAATTAGACAAATTAATTAATCAAATATGTTGTAGTGCACTGTCACAACCTAGCAAAGCAAAATAATCGATTATGTTGTTTCGTAATTGCGATTAAAATATGATTAATTGCACAGCCCACACACACACACACACACACACACACACACACACAAGCACACAGAGACACACACACATACACACTTTTTGTCTAACACGCTAACACAGTTCTGTACTGTTATGCTGTTATGTTCAGTCATTGTTCTTATGTTGAACATGAATACATTTATGGGACGTATTTCTTCTTTCATAGCAATTTTCCTTCATACTTTCTTGCCGTGAAATAGGTCTTAAATTCTATTCAAAGTGGTCTTAAAAAGGTCTTAAAAAGTCTTAAATTTGAGTTGGCGAAACCTGCAGGAACCCTGTAAAAAGGTCTTAAATATGACCAAAAAAATAAGAAAGGTCTTAAATATGATTTAGAAGGTCTTAAAAATGATGGGATTTGAAAGGTACTTCTGTGTTGCGATCGCGTCTAAAATGTGTTTTGGGGGAAATGTCCGGGCTGCGAAGTAACGGTAATAGCCTTTCAGTTCCCCCCAACAATTTGTATTGAAATAAATCAACATGGAACCAGTAATCACTAACTTTGTTTCCCCCGGCCCCTTAACGGAGAACACCCAGCTAGTAACCTAGCAACCAAGCTTCAGCTAGCGGCAGTCAGAAACTCATGTCTCTTCGAATCTACTTACAAATAAATATGGGGAAGTGTAAGTTCAACCGTATTTGGTTGGAAAACATCGAATTTAGTGCTTGGTTGAAACCAGTGGAGGGGAACGTGTTTGAAGCCTGCTGCACCCTTTGCAAAAGAAATTAGCGTTTGTTTGGCTAATGTAGCGTTAGCTAGTGCAGCGTTAGCTAGTCCAGCAGCTCCCGCAACAACACCGTTGGACCTCCGGGCGACGTTTGGGTCTACGTCAACCCTAAAAGCGGAGGTGCTGTAGTGTATACGCTAAATACCGTAGTTAAACACCAATCATACAACAGCAACGATGAAAGATTGTAGCCAAGGCAGCAGAGCTCTGAATATAGCTCTTGTTACTCACTCACACACACACACACACACACACACACACACACACACACACACACACACACACACACACACACACACACACACACACACACACACACACACACACACACACACACACACACACACACACACACACACACACACACTGCTCGATTATGGCAAAAATCATAATCAC